CATTGCCTCAGAACAACATCATGAGGCTAGTGAGGAGCATGAGACGTCGTTGTCAAGCTGTCATTGCGGCAAACGGTGGAAACACCCGCTTCTGACATTGTCAATTTTTGTTAATTGGGGCTATCCTTGTTATTGTTTAAATTTTGGGGGTAATAAATATTAAACTAAAGAAAATGGTGTTTCTTCTCATTCATTATTAGTCATATCAAAGGGAACTTTACTTATTTCATTAAAATTCAGACCAAACAGGAAAAGCACTAATGTAAATAACAATATCCCTAACTTATTGTGAGTAGTGTATATATATATATATACACACATAGAGAGAGAGAGAGAGAGTAAGAGAGACAGAGAGAGATTCAATAACAGCAAAAAAAACAAAAAACAAATCCATTTTGATGTCACTACTTTATCAAAATGTCAACAAAAGTGAAATTACAAGCTTGTTAAAGGTGGCATTTAGAGAACAAATGTTAACATTTAGCTTTTCAGTTTATTTAGACGGCATGTGCCAGATTTACCGTCTCTCTTACTTTTCCACGCACGAGCACAAATGTGCACAGGACACTGATTTATTTGCCATTTAAGATGTGTGAAAAACGCTGGATATTTTCAGCGGACACACAGAACGGACAGCTAATGGACCATGAGAAGATATTCACTGGATCTGACCAAAAGTATGCTGGATTAGAATCGCTGACTATACCTATTGTACAAACTGTTACACATTATTACACACATGCAGGAGTGTGACTTTAAAGATGTGGCTGCACTGTCACAAAACTACAAAGGCTGTCAGGACCTTAAAGGGGAACAATTCTAAAATATGGCAGGACACCGATGTGGTCTAGAGGGTTTAAGGAGGCATTAATGAACTGCAGTATCTTTGCTGCATATTATTCCCCATGAATTGTATAAGCTTTAATCAAGGCATAAAACACCTCAAAACTCACTGTAAAATAAAAAAAATAAAAAAATATTTTCAAGTAATGAGCTGGTGAGAATAAAACAGACTGGTGAAAGAAAGCTATGTTAGTTTGAGTGAGATCACAAACATTTCTTTTAACCCTCAGAACCACAAGACCTGCCAGAAGGTTTTAAAAGCATGCTGTCTTTAATAAATTGAAAAAAATACACTATTTATCAACCAGAAACTGAACAAAACTGAAAGGAATTTCAGATTTTCAATGTCAGGTTCAATAAAATAGCACTCAAAGTAGCTTAAATTTGTTACATCTCACCAAAATGATTTTTGTTTTACATGTGTTATTTCAAAATTTGTTCAGAAAAATCCACTTTCCCTGACCCGATCCTGTAAAAAAAATAAAAACATTTTGCACTCTTCCGCTTAACTGCAGGTTGTGTTTCCACAGAGCAGCAAGGAGACAAGTATGGAAGCAAAATAAAAAATTAAACAGTAAAACATATATAGTATGTAGAGTCACCATTTTTTCAGTATTGGCTGCACCTGTGGGCATTTTGAAAAACGTACAGGTTGAGTACAGTGTTTTCCTGTTTTTGTAAAATAAACAACTAAAGAAATTCAACTTTGTTTTCCTTTCCTTTTTTGTATGATTTATGGCATTATCACTGTGTTAAACTGCACAGAGGACATGAAGTTCACTCTACTTCTAGACATGAGTGTGTTGCTTCCAGAGAGGTCTTCATATTGCCATAAAAGAGAGTAAAAAATTTAACAGATACCAAAAAAATAAAAAAACAATAATCAGAAATTGCTGGGAGTTTAGGGGGTTAAAGAATCTTGAATGCAAGAAATGGGACACAGAGAGAGGAAAGCATGATGTAAATAACAAGAAACACAAACACAAGCTGGTAAGGCATGACAGGTTCTGGTGAAATTCATGGAAAACAGTTCAGTGTATTGGATTGTATTCAAAACTGCTAAGATGTTTATACTGTGTCCATTGAAAAGGCCAACAAGCTGTAGCTGTGGCTGCTGGTGAGACTGAGGTTGTTTGTAATTGTAAATTGATACAAACAGATTCATTCACTTGGCATTTGCATGACATTTGGAAATAAAAAAAATGCATGCCCCATACACTAGAAATCTCATTTATATACAAGACATAATTTAATTTATATAATAAGTTTAAAAAAGGAAATGTAACAGAAACTCTACTGCTGAGGACAAGATTTTGTTGAAATATTATAGTAATATTTTTCAACACTGATGGCATCTAATGTTGTGGTATCAGCGTCGTGTTATACAGAAACATTTCCATCTGATGAAAGTAAAAGAAATTCTTACATACTTGGAGTAAAACAACTAGAAAATGAATGTATAAAACAAGGCTCAATTCATATGTATACATGTGAAATGGCAACTGTAGCAGTCTAGTCAGTAGGACAAAAATAAAGAGAAATTCATTTTGAGTTGTGGGAAACAGCAAACACAGTTGAAACATGTGTGGAAGGAATGTGAGAGCGGACGAAAGGAAAGTCCTGCCTGTCAAAATGAGTGATGTTTGCTTCCCCCCCACCAAAAAAAACAAAAAAAAAAACATCCAGTGATCTGTGATGTAATCGGTTATGTCTTGTGGATTTCACCTGAGTGGATTGCATTGTGCTGCTTTCCTCATATGGCTCACGCTCGCCCTCTCCAGGACAAGAAGACAAACTACGCACTACAAGTAAACATAAAGACAACACTTCTTCTTGGGTTTGGACATTTGAAACTCAGGACCCTACACTGCTACAGGATGGACGAGCGCTGGCGCGGCCACAGGTGTGGTGGGAGGAGACGCTTTGCCTTTGTAGCCCAGCGACAGGATGTGTTTCTGCAGGTGTGTGATCCACTGCTCCTGAACTGACAGAGGTCCATGAAACACTTCTTCACAGAACCTGAGCAGCAGGAGAGAGAAGATTAGAGTGACCTAAACGGCATCAAAAAGAGCAAAAAACTACTTCTATGGACATTCTTATTTATACAGATTTATACAGCCGTCGCCCTAAGTCGGCTGGGATAGGCTCCAGCCACCCCGTGACCCTAGTGAGGATTAAGCGGTGTACAGATAATGGATGGATGGATGGATGGATTTATACAGATGTGTTTATTAATTCGACAAAGGGCTTTCTTGATATGCTAATTAAACAAAGAGCATGTCTCTTGTAAGACTGTGAAAAACATCTGTTCCCATTGTTGACTATCTGTTACTGTAAGTGCATCATGGCACTTTAATCCTCTAAAACTCAAAGCCCACCAGCATGTTTATAAGGCATATTAGCTTTTATTAAAAAAAAAAGAAACAGAGAATGAAAATGAAAATATATATATATATTACCAGACAGAGAAACTATAAAAAAAAAAAGAAGTAATTGTTCCATTTTCAACTGTCCTTGGATGACTTTTCTGTGAAGCGCAGTTTTGTTAGAAAACACAAAAATTGTGACAGTTCAGCAAAATCAACGTATTCTACATGTCTTATTCAAAAAATCCACCAAAAGTAAAACATATTCTGTAATAAACTAAATAGTACTTTTTGGAGCAACTAGTGACTATTAGTGACTAAGCTGCAACTAACAGTCAGGTGACAAATATTCAGGAACTTGTCAAAGACAAGTATGGAAATAAATGAAAAATGTAAGGAGTAAAACATCAATATTATGTAGCATAGGTAACATCAGTGGGCACTTGGAAAAAATATTGTACATGTTGATATTATTTGTTTTCAAATAGTCAAAGAAATTCAACTTTAGTTTTTTCTTTTAAAAAAAAAGTATGGCATTGTCACTTAGTTATACTACACAGAGGACATTCTTGAGTTTTTTCTATTTCTAGTCATGGTTGTGCTATTTCCATAGAGATGCAGGACTTTATACTGTCAAGAGAAATGAGCACACAGTGATTCAACATGTGACAGGAGCAACAAACGGCCAGAACCTCAATAAAAAGCGTGTCTCCTATAAAGCAAAATATCCATATCTATTGCTGATCCCCTATTACTGTAAGTGCATCAGGAATTTTTTTCAATAATTTAACACCGCTGACAAACATACTGAGTTTACAAAATAAACATAAATACATTTTACATTTCTTTCCATAACAGTAAACATTACTTAGAGAACTAATGTTTGACTTAAACACATAAATGTTGCCTCTACAGCTACCAAATATACAAACAGGATTATAAATGACTCACCTGCACTTGAGGGAGTAGATTTTTCCTACCAGCTTGACCAGTGGAGTTAGTGGAGGCTTTGGCAGTAGCGCAGGGATGCTGCCGGACCGTGATGGTTGATGGGAGTTGTTGTCCTGATTTCCCTCCCCTTTAGGCACTACGTATTTTTTTGGTGGATGGACCCCTGAAAACACACGGTTAAGAATTACAGGAACATGCAGGAAAATAATATATACTTTTTAGCAGTTACAGAGTCCATAACATACACAAATACAGGTCTATAATTGTAACTTGAGAACGTCTACATGCTTTAATGTTGAAAAAGCAAATTTCCTTTCTCTCATTACTTTTCATCCTCTGTCTGAAATGCTCTGTCTTAGCTCCTTGTAGATTTTTCAAGCAATATCACAAGCTTTTAAAGACATTAAAGGAAAGGGAAACCCCCAAAGAGCATAACACAGGCTCTTCAAAGTATATGTACATGCAGTTATCTTCCACAGCCATTCATTTCTCACCTCTTGGGGAGCGCAAATTGGGGTTGCTGTGGACTGCCATAGTGCGAGTGTGGCCTTGTGAAAACTTGAGGCTGCTGCCAGCCACCGAGTCAGAGTCCGTGGACAGAGAGGGCGAAGCTGCAGGCCTCTGAGACTGCAAGAAAATGACAGTAAGCAAGTGTATACTCAAGACATCGAGCATTTGTATGTAACTGAATGTGAACTGGAATAATATGAAGCACATTTTAGAGCGCAGCCCACCTTCTTGATGTAAAGGTCTCCCATGCGGTAGCGTCTGGTTATTTCTGCCACCTTGTCTGGGTCCCTCCGGATCAACTCACTGAGGAGATCAATCGGTGAACTCGCTCCATCCGCCTTCCATTCGATGATGCCCAGCTGTCGGAGGTGGGCCCGAGCGTGACTGGCCAGGGCCTTGCGGTTTTCAAAGTCGAACCCACAAAGCTCACAGGATGTGTCTGACACACAAGATTGTATATTTTATTGAAATTTCTGATGATGTCTACATACCAATAACAGAATAGTCATGTATAACAGTTTAGACCAGGAAAGGACAACGAAAACATGAGTCGGAAGAAAGGCAGGAGGGAAGCAGGGGTTCATGAAATGGGGTTTGGCTACAATTCAGATGGGCAATGGCGGTGCCACAAATACAACTGGTTTCAGAATGATAGAAAACTCAATCTAATCATTCTTAAATGTGAATTCTCCTACTAAGTTTAAAAGGTGCAAATGTCAGTATTTGCATCCAAATCCAAGCACAACTTTTACAGTCAAAACAATTATCGAATACACCCGACTTTCAAGCTTTTCATTGGTCACCCCTCCCAAAACAGCGTATGCAGCATAACAGTGTCGCTGTTGTCAAAGGATTGGCAGATTATTCCAGAAGACTAGGGATGCCCGATATTGGCATAAAAATTTAATATCTGTCAATATCATTATCGTTTTTGGGGTTTTTTTTGCCTATAATGAAAACCGATAAAATAATGCCTGGATTTCAAAGGCATTTACCAGCGGGCAAATGATGACGACATCAAACTGCATCGTGAAGCGTGTAAACAAGTGTGGCTACATTAACAAATATATAGCGTACTGGTTGATATCGGAATTGGAAACTGAGAGTTGGAGAATATCGGTATATTGGATATTGGCAAAAAAAGCCAATATCAGACATCCCTACAGAAGACCGATGCATCACTGAGCTGACACTTTGCTGAGTTACAGTGCAAACAGGGTTTTTTATGAATACGCAAGGTCTACTTCAGGATTACAAAAAGCTAGGGTTCTCTGTGGCTGTAAACATTTACTCAATGATGTTTTCTATAGACATACAAATGTATATTTTCTTATCTATGACAGCTCCTTTAAGTATACATTTGTGACAAATATGAAATGTTGGTATACATTCATCTCTCATCAGCTTAAGCTTATCTTGTCTTCAACTACTTACGTTTTGCACCTCATCTAACAGAATGTATATGTTCTACATATGTATATGTAACACCCTGCCTTAAAATGTTGACCTGCATTAACATGCACACAGGAAGGAAAAGCAACAGACAGATAAAGGGAAGACACAACAATGGCCAGAGTGCTCGTTTCCTGTCTTACCCAATGTAGCTTGTGCTAAGGCAGCATTGTATTCTGGATTGGGTCTCATGGAGAGGTTATGTGGAAAAGTTGGTAATTTTACACTCCAAGTTTGAGTTTTTAAGGGATAAGGTGGGTTGTAAAAGACCGAAACCAACAATGGCCCCGGTGCTGTCTGTTGCAATCAGCCCTTTTTGTTCCCATTAAAGTCAAAATTCAATGCTTCAGTTCATCACAGTTTGAAAAGGAAACTGACAGAAATAGTGGAACTATTTCTTTACAGTACTGTAAATGTCAAGCACTTGGGTCAACATTTCATGAGAAATAAGTTGACTTGACGTACCAGCGTGTGATGACCCACTCTTGCCAGATGGAGATTTTTCTTTCATGGAATAATCGAGAGGTGAGGTACAGATGCTGGAGGCAGACTCTCTAGATGTGAAGCTGTCCAGGGACCTTCTGGAGCCCTGATGAGTCCACGTGGCTTTGCCTGATGCTGAAGGCCGACTGAGCGCTGAGTCTTTCTTGCCTTCTTCATTGTTCAGCATGACCTCTTTGAGGAGATCGATTGGCGATGTTTTGATGGACCAGGTGAGGCCGAGCTGACGGAGGTGGGCGCGAGCGTGACACGACAGGGCTTTACGGGTCTCAAACAGCTGCCCACAGTAGTCACAAAGAACTGTTGGTGGGGATTGCACGCCTGTGGAAGGTGGGAAAATGAAGGAAAAAACTAATTAATAAATGTAAAAACAAAGGGCTCACTGCTGCTGAAAACATGATTCAAAAAGAAGTGCAACTGGAGCTTGTAATAGAACAATATATTTAGATTAATAGCATTCTTCTTTACCTGATTCTACAGGCTTTGGAGAAACGATGGCAGGAGGCGACTTCTGCAGAGGAGAGCTGCTGCTAGTGCTGGATGTCTTCGGTTGAACAGACACATCTGTCTCGACAGGCTCGGGCTTGGGTTTCCTGAGGAGGGGGTCCACGGCTAGCCGAAAACCTTTCTTAGCCTTTGGCGCCCTGTTTATCAAACCTTGAGGAGAATGACAGCTCTTTGCAGGAGTTGAGGAAAGCGGTGGTGACGAAAAGGAGGTCCATGACTGACTTGGACCTGGAGACAGAGCCGGGACTGCAGGAGAGGTTGGTGCTGGTGATGGTGCTGCAGATGAGCTGGCTGTATTTTTCATTTTGGGCTGGTGTACAGCTTCTAAAACCCCACTGCTGACCAGCTCCTGGACAGCGTCGATTGCAGAGCTTTTCCCTACTAACTCACTCACTCCGATGTGACGCAAGTGAGAGCGAGCATGGCTGGCCAGGCCTTTTCGATTCTCAAATGACTCCCCGCAGAGAACGCAGGTACACGGTTCCAATGTTTTAGGCCGTTTGCCAGCGGGCGACACAGGTGGAGAGGACAGATCAGAGGGACGTTTAGAAGAGGATCGAAGAGAGCTGTCTGACGTGAGCTCGCCCTGTTGTATGTTGATGATGGGCTTGAGGTCCTCCTCCTCCATGACCCGATACAGAAAATCAATAGCGTTGCCCTTGATGTCACTGTCAGGGATTCCAATCTGGCGCAGATGGAAGCGAGCGTGACTCGACAGGCCCTTGCGTGTCTCGTACCAGCAGCCGCAAAGGTGACAAACATGGACTTCATCATTGGTGTCTGAAGGTGCAAGAAACAAATGGAAGAAGCTTACAAAGTCAGCAGGTGACAAGTCTGCCATGTGTACTTTGCTTAAACCAAAATATTACATCAACAGTCTCATAATTACATGCCTTATCATCATAGACTGTATAAAAGATGGACGTAGCTACCGTGACGTCACCCGTTGGTTTTTGCACTGAGAAAATGAAGCCAGGGTTTTGCTACTTCCTGGTTGACATCTTGGGTGTTTGGAGCCAGTGACGCAAAAATCGGAGGCGGAGCCATAGGAGCAGCGATTGGTCAGACGGATTGAGAGGCAGGCCCTCTCTGCCCGCCCACATTGACCGCCTTCTGCTCGCTTCGTCTGAATCGTCGCTGCTGACTGTCAATCAAGCCAGCCACACCCCTTGCACCGCAAAATTTTGACGATTTTTTAAAAATTCAGTATTGATTTATTTTCAGATTGGCCACCTGATCTCTGAATTTGACTATGAAAACTAATAAGAAAAAAATCCTGAGCTGTAGGAATGCAGTATTTCATGATCTGTGATCACTTCTTTTCCAATTCAATTCTATGGGAGCCAGGGCTTTTTGGAGCCAGGAGCTGTTGGACGTAGGTTTTGACATTTCCGGGTTGGCTTCATTTTTCAAGGCCGGTTGCTACGCCATCTTTTATACAGTCTATGCCTATCATACAATGTGTCATGCACATACACCTTAAAGTACAATTCAGGATTCAGCCATACCTAAAGTGATTGGGGCATCAGTTTCCAGCGGCGCCCACAGCGGTTTGGTTGTGGCTTGGTGCTCTGAGAAAGATGAACTGCTGCCTTCTGCTGGCTGAAGAGCAGAAGGAGATGATGGTAGGGGAGAAACTCCTGACTCTTTCAGTCTTGATGAGGATCCCTGATGATCCATCTTCTGGGGGGTTGTCATGACTCTGACCCCCGGCTTGTAGGAGGGATTAGCGTCCTCTTGCCCTGAAGGTGACTCCTGCTGGGGTGTTTTTGTGAGAGGGGTCGACTCAGGTACAGAGGCGGAGTCTGATTTGAAATTTGGGAGGGAGCCGTCTCGCTCCTGGATGAGCTGGTAGAGGAGCTCTATGGGAGCTCCACTGTTCTCTGAAAACGTCACACCAAGCTGGCGGAGATGGAGGCGGGCATGACTGGAGAGCCCTCGTCGTGTCTCAAAGTACGTTCCACAGACCTCACAAATGACTGGCTGTTGGCTTGCTGTGGAGAAGTTCAGATGAGAGACTGCTATGGCAAACTGCATGAGAGAACTTTCAGTAACTACACTGACTAAGATCTTGAAATTCCTTTACAGACTTAACAATCTCTGCATATGTCAAGACTTAATGACATAATAATACGAGTGGCACTGTTTCAAAGTGGCTCAAGCATTTACTTGATCAAATATGTTGAAAAAGTCAACAATTTTCATGATATGAACTTATTTTTCACGACTGTTTGTATCCCACAGATCAATTATGTAATATGTAGTTATAAAAACTGAGGATGTGGCCCATTGTGACTGAATGAATAATGGCGAAGGTCAATGACATTAAATTAACAAAAACAGACAGTAATGTAAAATAATGGACATAAATAACGAAATTACTGGTGCCACATTTTTAAGCATCTCTCTTACCTTGTGAATCCATGGGTGCTAAAAATGTGGTCTTTTTTATTTTGAAGGATGAGAAAGCTGTTTTCCTGAGGTTCCTGTGCAATGGAGTGAAAAAAAAAATGAAAAAAATGAACTCCTTGGTGGGACCCTTTAGTGTCACTTTTCAACATGCAGTATAATCCAATTGATTTCTGTAGAACTCCCCTAAACATGCTAAATAGACAACATGAGACTGGAGTTAAAAGTTGATGCATGAGTCAAGCAGACACTTGACATTTATGAGATGAGATGGAATAGGTTGTCATAAATGATGTGCTTTAAACATCAGGTGAGTTCCAATACACAGTATGTAAAAACACCCAGATGTCTGACTACATCTGATCTGATTTGGCAGCATGCTCGCAAGCATGTTTTTATGACTATTCTGTCCCACAATCCTTCGCGCAGTTATGTCACATATGTCATGGTGTCTCGCACAGGAACAAACAAGCTTAAGCTACTGAGCAAGCACAAACAGATGACAGCTACTTAGGACTGGAACAAAGTTGCATCATAGCTCAAGGTTCAAAATTATGTTGAAGTAGAAAAAAAAGGTATGCAATTAGGAACACAGCCAATGTCTTATGCCTTAGCTAGAGTGAAACACAACTACAGCATATCAAAATATTCTCTTTATACAATATTTTCCTGCACTATTTCCCCATTTAGGCAAATTCTCTCAGCTAAACATTACACATTACATGGACAAGACTGCATCTAGTCAAGGTGTACTCTAAAGGACTTATAGGCAAGTCTCGCTACTCAACAGCCATCTTGGTAATGTTCCTGGGCAGCTATTTTGGGCTAACAAGAACAGACCCTGTTGAAATGATAGGAGGATAGCCATTGTAGAATCACCAGTCAAATCTGTTAAAAACCACTTAAAACGTTTGGGGACTTTGACCCAAAATTAGGTTTTAGAAGACAGTTTTTTTAAACTCCGCAGTTTATATTTCTTCGATGCAGTCTCTTGGCACTATCTTTGCATTAGTGCAACAGTACAATCGGCTCAATGTTTCCCATTTCAGCTGTTACTAAGCACACAATTGGGGTTTTGGAGGGTAGGGGTGGGACAGGTATCAACAACCGCCATCTTTAGCATTACACACTATGCTCACATAGATTTCTATTAAGTGACGAGTCTCTCCATTGGTCACGTTTTATTTATTGCTCTGACTGGCTGTAGGTCTGCTTTCTTGTGCTTTCTGCGCCTGTTGATAACATCCCTTGAAAGTCCAAAATAAACAGAGAGATTCCAGACTAATTGGCATTTGCATGTCTGTCTGGCAATAGGTCAACTTCGCTAGCCTACTCTGTAGCACATAATGGTCTGGTTGCATCTCAGCACCATTCTACTATAAAGGAAAAACACCCTGGCCTGTTCTTTTGTTCTTTAAACTAATCAATATTTGCACCCAAGAAGACAAGCTGTGAAAAAAATGGATAATCCACCAAAAATAAATAAAGAATAGCAGGGCTTTCTGATTGCACAATCCAAACACTTTGCAAAATTTTACATTTCCAGTGTTGGAGGTAGCTAGACCAAAGGTTGCTGTTGTTGTTTATTGCAGTAACGGGGATTATAAAAACAGTAACATGAAGCTAGCGGTGGGAAAAGAAAAAGAGGAAAGCGAAGCGACAGTACCTGCCAATGGCAATGCAAACATAAATCAAACTACACTGGCAATGCCGGGCTAGTGCTAACCTATCTAACATGTTTTTTTTTGTTTGTTTTTTTTTGAATACACATCTACATATAAATGTGTAGTTACTTCACTATATTGAGAAACAAAGGTGTCACAATCAGTCCACGCATGCTTGCTGGCAGACCACCTGAACCAGCAACAGTATTTTTCTGGCTTCTGATTGGTGACCACGGCTGTAGGATTACAGTTATAGCGCCCCCTGCAGGTGTGGAGGCTCTCTACAGCGCTTCAATTGTGTTTTGGGGTTTTCATGTGGAAGGAACGGAGGAAACCCCAGTTTTAAAAATAACACCTGAGTGTGAGCTAAGCCTCCGAGAAGGTGATTTTAAAAAAAATAATAAAAAAAACCCGTCCCGTTTGCTGCTCCGACCCTTTACAGACGTTACGGAAACCTCGCAACAAAAAGTACCCTTCTTATAAATGTCTTTACAACCAGACTGCATTGTGTAACAACACTTAATGTTAGCGAAAACGCCTTATTCCCTGTTCTTGTGTTCATATTTTAACAAAGCAATGCCAGCAGACTGTTTTTCTAAACTGTAAGGGGCTGAAACATCCGGCAAGTTAATGCTAACTTCGGCTATCTCTTTGTTTTTGCTCTGAAATGCTAACGTTAGCCGCATGGTCGCTCTAACAGGTACTTATTTTAGCAAAACGGCGACAAGCTACACATCCTACGGCCTCGGAAAGAGACAAAACTAAACTAAACTCATATAAATAACAAAGGAAGTTACCAAAACGGCTGAAGAAGGTGCCACAGCACATAGGTCTCTCTCCATATACTGCCAAGCTCAGTCGCGTTAGCGCTCCACACAGTCCTGATGCTGAGCTTTTTCAAAGTAAGACTCCCACTGACAGAACAGCAGAGTTTTAAGTGACCAAATGTTTGCTCTTGGTAATTACTTGCAGAGTTCAATTATTCCATTTAATGGTAACACACTAAAACCAATTTCTGTTTTTATTTGTTCATTTTGTAACAATAATGAGAATATGCTATATAAAAAAAAGTTTATTATCATTATAGGTATTTTTATTTAAAAAAAAAACTGAATCAGTATCTGAATTAGTGGCAAAATTCTTCACCAGAGCCTGAAACGTTGCTCTTGACAATCTGGTAATTTCTACTCTGAATGGTGCAAAATTGAAAAAGACAGTACAAATATCTTTTAGATATAAACTATATCAAAATAAATGAGTTTTTTTTTTTTTTTTACAGGATGTTTCCCAATACATTGTAGATAAACTGTGCTGGATTATGGGGAGTTTTTAATACATGCATGCTTCAGTGGCAACTCTTAAGGCCTTAGACATTTTGCAATAAGATTTATTACTGATGATATTTACAGTACCCTTCCTCTTTCCATACACGCCAAGATGATTAGATAATGCTGCAAGTGCTGGCTGTTTTTACTGATCTTAGAAAATCCGGTTTGCACCTGCAAAACAAATTTAAGCTTGACTCATTTTTGTTCACAGGGGCAATTCAGGTTTTTGTAATTTTTGCTTTGAAAACACCAACTTCCTGTTCCTGGGCCGCCGCAGCTTGTGCGCACATCTTCTGCGCAGCCGTCCGTCCCTCCTTCGACTCCTCTCTTGTGTCGCCGCCAGCCGCAGACCTCCGCTGCAAACTTCTCCACGGCTTTACACAAAGACAGGTGAGTACTGAAACTCCACGTTTGTGTGTTTCTGTACTGTTAAAAGTTTGCACAGTGTCTGCACAACTCGATTAAAACGTTTAATATTCGTTCCCGAGACAAAGAGAAGCTAGAAAAACCGGTTTACTAAGCTAACGTTAAGCTAGCCGGGCAGTGCGGGTGAGCTGTTCCCCTCCTTTAAGTGTTTAGGCCTCTTTCTGGCTCTTTCTTTGTCCCTGAGCTGCAGCTTGCAGCACACGCCGGCCAGTTTCTCCTCGCTTTGTTCAAATTTAGCCGTTTTTACCTTATTTAACAATCCTCTTTACATGTAAAACCTTCGACCTCATTGTTGAACTTTGACTAATTCCACGCGTGGATCTCTCAAAACCAAACCAAGGCCATAAAACATTGTAAGCTTTTGTCTTTTCTATCGTGGCGATTGGACGATAAAAAAGTATATCGTCATACAGAGCTTGTGCACTCAAGAGCAGCAATTTAAATGGATGAACTTTTGTACCAGTTCAATGAATAATGTTTTATTAACATCCTACTTTGCTGAAACAATGTCTATATAATAGTAGGTTAAATCTGCAGCCATGCAAGCTTGATTTAAACAAAATACATGCACATTCCTGTTAGAAAACACGTAAATATCCAATAAGTATCCTTTTATTCAATTGTGCGTATCGTGGTTATGTAAGCTTTCCTAATAGGCTATTGTTCCCTGCTGGCTGAACATGACTTGCATGTGACTTTGCGGGGTTTGCTTCACTTAACAAGCCCTTGAACCGACAAAGAGCAGCAAAAGCCAGCTCTCAGGTTCAGCTCAGCTGCTCTGGCTTTTTAATTTAAATGTCATACTTTGTTTTCTGGCTCAAACATGTTGCTGCTATCAGAGCTCCAGCTCAAGGTCCACCCAGCTGGACTTATCTGTGGTTGTTGTGAGCTTCAGGAGCTTTCTGTTAAAGATATGTTGTGTCTTCTTCAGTAATTTGCCACCAACATCATGTCTGCTGGAAATGCAAAGATTGGCAAGCCTGCCCCTGAATTTAAAGCCACAGCTGTAGTGGATGGACAGTTCAAGGACATCCAGCTGTCAGACTACAGAGGTAACTTAGTGTTATTTCTTGTAGCTTTTGTGCACCATTACTAGTTGAGCTTTTTGCACCTTTTGTTACCCAATTCCCTTGAGCAGAATCAACTAGTTTATAGCATGCTTGAAATTAGTGCTTCGCTCATTTATTTCCTTCTCTGCTTTTCAGGAAAGTATGTGATCTTCTTTTTCTACCCCCTGGACTTCACATTTGTGTGCCCCACTGAGATTGTGGCTTTCAGCGACAGGGCAGAGGAGTTCCGCAAAATAGGCTGCGAGGTCATCGGCTGCTCCATAGACTCCCACTTCAGTCACTTGGCATGGTAAGAATTCCTGCTCGCGCAAAGAAAATTGGTATTTGTGGGAACTTTACCACTTCAGTGCTTCTGAGCTGCACACAGCTGACATGACAGCAAGTGGATTAAGCGGGGCAGCTTGAACGAAAGATTCTTTTGCCTGTATTTCAGTGATTATCTTGCAGGTGAACTGTACTTAAGAACTGTTGTTCCTGAAAAAAAATTGTTTGAACATTTTTCTGGTATAAGGTGAGCATCAACGTAGGTCTGCCCTCAACTACCAAAAGAAAAAAACACGCCAAAGAAGCTATTTGACCAAAAAACACAGTCCTTTGAGTGATAAGCGATGTGGACTTTTGCTCCTCAGAACTGGGAGCGGTTGACTATTTCTTATCTACTCAAATTTCAGGTTGCACTTGACTGATATGTAGGAAGAATACTAGATCAGGACCTGATAGATGCCCTAAAATAATTAAATGACTCGCATCAGAGCAGTCGTTGTTGGCAGTTTTTATTTCGGCTGTTAAAAGTGAAAGTTTTTGGCAGCTCTGTAGCAGCACCCACCCCAGTTTATCTCCTGTCACCCTGCTTCTCTGCACAGTGTTGATAAGCTGACATAACGTTTTTTGATCAAACTGCACTTTCTAGAAGGAATAAGAAGATGTGAGAAATTATGCAATGTTGTTTTAAAGTTAAAAAACGTCTCATTTGACTTGACAGTGGCTGTGTTGCCTCTAGGGCTGCTGTGACTAGTTAACATAAACAATGACGTCACTTTTTTTAAACTGACGCTTTTTTTTTTTTTCTCTTGAAGTACTTCAGGTCAGTTGCTGCGTCATGATGACAGACGTTTTTGGCTCCAATCGTTAGTCGAGTGAATTTAGTACCACAGATTTAGAAAATGGCGGCCTCAGCAAAGTCTGACTCAGTTCAATGTAAAAGTTTTCAAGGCTCCAAGGCTTCCAAAATATTACAATACTTTAAATTAACACAAAACACACCGATGACATACCAGAGCAGTGCTGGTACAATACACAAGCTGCTGAAGAGAGAACAAATGTGTGCTAAGCTGGAAGAGGCACTACCTGACAACCTAAAATATCAGTACACAGATCAATAAGTTTTGTTTGTTTTGTTTGAATTAATTGACTAATTGGTAAAATAGTTAATGGATCAGTCTAATAAAAAAGGTTGCCCTAGTTGCCTCAAAGGAACTGCTTTTTGTCTGAATTTCACTGAGGAAAATTCACTCGTACATCATTGAAAAAAATGTATTTCAATGTTTTTTGAATGCCTGCATGAGTTCAGTTACTTTGTCTCAGCAAGCACTGCAGCATGCCTTTTTAAAGGCTTCTTTCTGCTCTGTGTGAAACATCAGATAGCTTTTGAACCACAGTCATTCTTAGAATACCTCTACATACCCTTGGTTTTAATTGGATGTTTGTTTTTAAGCGCAGAAAGTACGATACATCAACAGTAACATGATGTTGTTGGTGACCTGTAAATGTTTTTTTAAATTGGGAATATAGTTATTAGTAATAATAATATTTATTATTATTATTTTATCCTAAAGGATCAATACACCAAGGAAACAGGGAGGTCTGGGCAGCATGAAAATCCCCCTTGTAGCAGACCTCACCAAGACAATCTCCAGAGACTACGGTGTGCTGAAGGAGGATGATGGCATTGCATACAGGTCAGTTAGACTAATTTTCATATGACGGGAGTCACTGTCTGATGGCAGCATGGTTTATTTGAACACTCATGCAGAGTTTAACAGACACAGGGAGGTGTAGCTGGTACAGTTTTTTGCAGTCCTGTAACCTCATTGTGTGCCTCTCAGGGGTTTGTTCGTGATCGACGATAAGGGTATTTTGAGGCAGATCACCATCAATGACTTGCCCGTTGGTCGCTCCGTGGATGAGACTCTGCGCCTGGTTCAAGCCTTCCAGTTCACTGACAAACACGGGGAAGGTGAGTAAAATCACTGTATACATACCTGCAATTAATCAGGTAATTTAACCTGCATGGTCTATGTTAATTGTAATTCAGGCTGTGGAAGGCTCATGTTTTGGTTTAGGACTTTGAAATTCACTTTTTTTTAACTTAGCTGCTTCATATCATGTATTTTGTTTACATGCACACTAGTATCCCATTATGAGACCTTTCCCAGTTTTGATATGTAGGAGCACAGAAAAATCTGGGTATTCATATTCCTGTATACATGATAAATACTATTATCGTGGTTACTGATCACTGCTTGCTGTTTGCGCAGGTGCCTGTGATGTGTGCGACACAAACCAGCCATTTAATCTGACATTCCTTTAACTGTTAGCATAACCTTAAATTATTTTTACTGTGGCTATTAAAAATTAGGCCTCTTTGGCTTATAGCAGGCTTAGGACCTTTAAATGCCAACGTAGGGCTGTGGATTTGGCTTATCCACCTTAAAGCCAGCCGTAGGAAATACGAAACATAACCTCCACTTTCATCAGTACGTGTAGAACAAGGACTGCAGCTGTGGCATTTGGGTTGTCATGATGGAGTTCATTACAGGGCATCCTTTTACATGCTGTGTCACACATTTGAACCATTCATGAGACCAGAGGAAGCAACAATACAAGCACCAGTTCTCTTCCTAAAGACAGTGATTATAGTGTTGTACAAACTGAGCAGTTGTGAAGAATAGCACTTGCTTTGTGTTTCTGTTATGTCACTTTCCTGAAACCATGTCTGTGCAGGTAGTTGGCTGCAGTCAGGAATCGGGGTAACATGTATACATACAACAGGATCTGTTTCTTTCAAAGCACTCCGACCCCCATAATCGGGTTTAAATAGGATAACTAGGTGTCTGAGCTTGCAATATGACGCTTTCATGTGCAAATACAAAACAAGGATAATTGAAAAGCCCTAACCCGGATACTCAAGTCTATGTAAACACAGACGTTTGTTCATGTTCTGTGGCACACTACTTTTTAAATCATGTACATTATAAAAACACATATATTGTTATGCTTTAGTTTATATTATTTTACTTATTGTGCATTTTAGATACATCACAGCATTTCTTACACTTATAAATATTTGAGTAGAAAGAAAACTATTGTAAACGAAGCTGCTTGTGGCTGTAAATCATCTTGGAGGGTTCACTTAGTTCATGTACACAATCCTGTTTTGTTAGTTTACCCTCCCGAGCACTCACATTACGAACTTTGCTCTCAGGCTGTACAAAGTTTATGTGTGTACAAATGAGAGCCTGAGGTCAACTCTGTCTCTTCTCACCCTGTACGCAGTGTGCCCTGCTGGCTGGAAACCCGGAAGTGACACCATCATCCCTGATGTCGAGAAGAGCAAGGCCTTCTTCTCCAAGCAGTAAAACGTGAAGGGGTTCTATCCAGCTCATTTCCTAACCTTAGCACTTGCCTTCAGATGAGAGGTGTCCCTATGAACAAGTATCTCATGTCGTCCAATCTATTAAAACAGATTTCACAATTTGTTTAGGAGGGCGAAAACATCCCCCCCCCTTTTTCTTTCTTTTTTTTTGCAGATGTTATCTTTGTACGTCCAGTGTACATTTGGTGGGGTAACCTCATAGTCTCAAGCACTGAAAGTATTGTTGTTTTGTTCCTTTTTCAAACAAAGTATTGATATTTTTCCTTGCTGTCATTGATAATTTGCTACCATCTTTATTAAAACAGTGGGAAAATTACAATCAAGTGTCTGTCAAATGTTGGCGTATTCCTCATTGTATTGTAGTGACCTCTAGGTGGCAGCATTAATCTGGATATTCTTGGTGCCTTCTGATTTTGTGACAACATAGAAGTATAATTCCAAGTGACAGTTTTGGAATTAATGCGGTGCATCAATTTGGCTCCTTTGCCTGGCAGAAGATCTGAGTACGTCACGAAGCTGCCAAGTCTTGCTTAATATTGGAGTTGTTGTGGTGGTTGACTAAGCACAACAACCTGCTGTTGCCAAATGGCACTGAGGCTTATTGGGAAATACTGGATTGTTGGATATGATAATGCAGACCTGTATACCTGCTCCAACTACAGATATATTTTAATTGTTTATTAAGAATAGTTATCTATAAACTTCCTACTGTAGTTTTCCTTACAGTAGTAAGTCTGCTTTATTAATTCAGGCAGAACAAGATTCAATAATTCTGACTTTATGTCCACATTTATTCAACATATTGAAACTTTACATAAAATGTGCGACCTCTGCCACCCATATTTTGTTTGTGCCAGCTAATTTCAATCTAACCATCAGACAGAAAGTCTACATGTTTATCTGGAACTTTTTTTCTGCCATTTTTCCTGAGCTGCTGTTCTCACGGCTTGTTTTGGGAAATTGAAAGCAGAATGGGGAAACTCCCTTCACTCGAATAAACCACTCATTGACAAACCTTTTCATTTACGCACACACGTTGTGGTGTGAAGGGGAGAGAGCAGCCATTCTGACGGGTAATGTAGGAGGGAGTTCCCGGAAACCTTGTCGTGATGTGACGTTTGCCAGCAATATTGACCATATATGGAGTGACGCAAGTACGTCAGGAGGGAAAAATCCTACGCTGGGACGTCTCCAACGTCAAGCAACTTGTGCTGCTGTAAACTTCACCACCGAGACAACTGCGGTTAAATTATGTTAACGAGAAGTAAACAATAGTGACTTGTAAAAAAAAAATACCTCAAAAAACAACACGTTTCTTAGGTTCATGATTTCATTTACTTAAATATATACTGTACATATAAAAAAAAAAAGACAGGCTCATCAGGCTCAACCTGACTCACACAAATAACTTACATCAGAAGCATCACAAATAGCAATAAAAGAAAACAAAAATGTAAACAGGCAAAGCCAAGACGACACTTTTAAAAACTTATTCAAAAATGCCCTAAGTGTTGTAGTCTTGTGGTTTCTGTGTGTAGCTTTGAGCTACTTTCTTTCTTTCTTTCTTTCTTTCTTTCAGGCAAAGAAAAACCACAACGGTCCAGTTCTCATACAGACAACGTATAAAGACTGTTAAATGTTTTGTCAGTGCAGTTCATGTCCAGTGTTTTTTTGTTTTTTGTTTTTTGAGGGAGGGTTATGAAAAAGTGCATAATTTCTTCAGTAAGACTTGACTTTGGGCGCTAACATGAGCTGGCAGCCACTGCTCACATGCGTCATGACTTTCTGTTTGAGTTGGGCCACCTGTTCCCGGAGCAGGGACGCCGTGTTCGACAGTCCAGCGTTGTCTGTTTTCAACACTTTCACCTTGTCCTCCAAACGGGCGATGCGCTCCAGCTTGCGCCTCCGACACTTGGAGGCTGCGAGCCGGTTCCTCAGCCTCTTGCGCTCCGCTTTGATCCGCTCCTGATTCTCCAGATCGATGGGAGACATCGGCGGAGACCCGTTGTCGCTGCTCTGCATGTCGGGAACCGTCTGGGGCTCCTCTTTCAAGCCCCCATAGCGCTGCGAGTGGGAGTGAATCCCGGCGCCGGCCAGGGAGTGCTGGAAGTGGTGAGATCCGTGCGCAACGGCCTGAGGATGCTGATGGTACTGGTGGTGTGGCAGGTAGCTGATGGTGGTGGACGGGTAGCTGCCTGTGGAGCTCAGGCTGGGGTTCGGGTTGCAGCTGCTCAAGGTTGTGTACTCGAGCGGTTCCGGCTGCATGGAGGAGCCGAACACCGAGGCTGGAGCCGGGCAGCCGACCCCGCCGGTGCCGATGGACACGTTTGGAGGAGCCATCTGGTTCATCTTGTGCAGGTCGTCCAGAGCTTTCACAAAACCTTCAGCGAAGCCCTCCTGCTCCTCTGTGATCCCGCGGTAGTACTGTGCAGGTGTCGGCGTTGTAGTGATGACCCCGTTGCTGTTCTGGATAATCAGTCGCTCCAGTTCAGGAGAGGCGAGCTTCAAGGAGCCCACGTCCGCCGAACCCGCCGAATAGAAATCACTATCGGCACGCAGGTGCTGTGACTTGAAGTTTGAGTTCCGATATGAGTCGGAGAAGTTCAAGTTCATATTCTGCTTTAGCAGCTTGTAGTCGGGCAGTGCTGCGCCTGGATGGCCATAAGCAGAGAGAAACGAGTCGTCATAAAAAGGTTGTTCCATAATTGTGGACATATTTCAAATCAGACAGTCAAATACAAGTGAGCGCTGGAAACGATGCTGCTCGGACACCGAGGCTTCAGCGTCCCAAACGAGTCAATCTCCAGCACAAAGTCCCGCTGTATTATTATACTGAAGACCAAAGCTATCGAAAACAGAGCAAAACTTCCAAAATAGTGGAACTGTACTGTACCAAGTCGTCGATTTGTACCTTTAGTCGGATTCAAAGCGGAGTCCAGTGACTAATTCAGATGTTTTCATTCCACTCGTGAGTAGCAGAGTCTTTTCTTCTGACTGTGCGCTCCGCTCCTATTTCCTCATTAATGACATGCGCCCGATGCGCTCTTCTCTCTTATGTGATCCGGCTCAAGAAACGCTCAGACCGAGCCGCTGATTGGTTGTTCCTCTGCGGTCCCCGCCTCCGGGATGTCAGATACTCTTGCTGACGTTGTTGCCAGGAACACGGACTGTAAACAAGACGAGGCTTATTCGGCGTGTGGGAAGCTCAGGCTCAGGTAAACACATAAATCAGCTCGAGTGCGCATCTACACTCCTTATCATTTATTCCCAAGTCACAGCTCAGAAAGCAACAACCACAACAAAGAAACACAATGCGCCTCTTCCAGCGTTGTTGGCACACTTAACCCAAACCGCCACTTGGCTTTTCATGCTCACCAGCAGTGCCATTAGCAAGGATATATAGTCTGGTGCTGAGTCATGCGAGCCAAACTGATACCGGCCGGTCCATATTTGGGTATCCAGGCGCACCGGTTCCTTCCTGACAGGAGACGGAGGCCAATCCCATCCTGGCGCGCTTCCAGGGATGTTGGAGGCGGAGGAGGCGCTGCTGCTGCCCTCCCACAGCCCGCAGGCAGGGAGAGGAGGGCCAACTCCTGGGCGTGATGTCTTCAAAAATGCGTGAAGCCTCACGGGTGTCTGGCAAAGTAAGACATGCAAGGTGAATCAGAGTATTTGCGGGTAGAAAAAACAATATTTAAAGATAGCAATCAGAGGCACTGTAACAAAAAAACAAAACAAAACAAAACATTTTAAACAGTTTCAACTGTAATTCTTGAACAATTTACATGGATTCCCCATATTTTATTAAGTTACAGGTAATAATTAATGAAATCAGAGAATAATACAATAAATCTGCATATTGATCAAAAAAAAAAAAAGTCCACATTGTGTTTTTCTAAGTAATTCTTTCTGTTTCAATATATGACCTTAAAATAATAGTTGCACTGTGAAAGAAAAAATGTGTATTTAAGTAGATTTTTTTTCTATTTAAATTAAATTAAATTATTTTTTATATTTGAGTGTTATTTACAGATTTTCACTGTTTTGGTAGATTATACATAATATCTAGCAAAATTACAAAAAAAAGTAACAATTTACATGTTGACTAGAGAAAAATCAAGCCCAATCACCTAAATAATACTCAATTAATCAATATTTTTTTTAAATAGTAATTTGCTCTTTTACAATGTGTTTGCACATTTTACTGTATTGCATTCCATTGGCAAATATTTTTTATTATTAAGTTATTTTTTTTCTGTTTTTGAAGTGTCACTCATCAAAAACATTGCCGTATGTTTAATTAATCCCACAGAAAAAAGGTAGTTATATCATTAATAAAAACCAGTGTAAATGTCTAGTTGCTCTTAGACAGTTGTTGGTGTTTAGTTAAAAAGCAAATCTCACCTCAAGTTACCTCAGTTTGGATTCAATTTTAAAATTAATGCAGAAATGTGGGATAAAATTACACATAATACTAAGTTAATTGAAAAGCCAATACATTATGTTAATACAACCCTTAAAAAACTATCTTCATCTAAACATTTTTTTATTTTTTTTAAATTGTTTTATTTTGCAGCCATGCTTTTTAATAAGTGGTAGGAATAGGGCTCTAGAAATATTATGTACAGTGTTTTTGTTTATCTATTAACACAAGCGTTGCTTCCTCGTTTCTATGGGAGCGTAAACACATGACGGAGCCTCTCAGGCATTTCAGACTAGAGACGTGTCCCCCTGAACATAACACCTGTTTGGTAGAACGACGTCTTTGTCTTCTCTGTATGGTAATGACCTCTGAATCACTACCTGGAGGGAAATGTGCCCACACATGCTCGTGTCGTGTCATCAACTTTCCTATCTTGTGCTTCTATACCATTGGCAGGTCACATGCGTGTCTGTGTCTGTTTGTGTTTAATTTTATTCTGTTGAGTTTTTCCTCATAGGTATAACCTTATAAAATCACAATAATTTGGATTAAAAAAATTGCGTGTCCTATTTCGTATTGCCCCTTTTGCCCCCTATTAGGCTTTGGTATTGAGCAGGTTTGTTAATTGGAACTCTCTCAGACCAATGGAATCAATGGGAATTTTACACAGTTGCACTAAACAGTTAAATAGTCAGATATTTTTGTGTGTTTAGAAGCTTCTGATAATCTGCATTAATGTGCACACACAACAATATCAACTTGTTTTGGATGTTTGGACCCATATTCTGATTATTCTTAGTAATTTGACAAGCATTTCACACTTTTTTCTATTTACAGCTGTTAAACTGGCCTTGATTTGTCTGTATTCGTGTTTAGTGTTGCATTACTATAAATGCCAGAAGCCACCAGGCAACAGGTTAAAAAAGAGGTCAAAGCCGAAAGAGCATGAGGTGAGATATTCAGATTTTTACTTCTTAGCATGGAGTTTTAAACTACAGAAACATCAGCTCCTCTATTTCCCATGATACCAAGTTAATATCATGTCCTCCGCTTGACAGAAGTTTGAAACATCCTAATAAATATTTGACATCTCAAGCCAGTAGCGAGACAACCCCGATGATATCACAGTGACATCATCAGACTTTCTAGCCACAGAAGACGTTTAACAAATGTTTCACTTAAGCTGAGTAAATACTTTCTATGACAAATACACTGACCTTCACGTGTAAAAGCAGCAGTGACTCTTTAATGTGCATTTTATATGTGCTTTGTTGTGATTAGCTGTCATACAAATTTCATCATTTTCATTCGATACTGAAGTTGTCACCTTTCACTGCATTGAATGGCCCTGTTGAAATAATTGACCAGTTTCTTAACCCCAAGCAGTTTCTGGGTGTTTTTGCTCCTGACACATTTTTACTCACACTACACTCATTTTTCACTGCAATATAAAGTCCAGCACCCTTATAGAAACAATACCAACCAATGATAGAAGCAGAGAAAATCCTACTGCACAGAAACAATGCTTTCTGAGAAATTTGACACAGTTTAAAAAAAACACACAAAAAAAACAAAAGCTAATTTTTTTTTGTCTATTTTACAAAAGACCTGGAATCAACTTGTACAACATTTTCCCAAAAGTGTCCCAAAAGAAAGTAGCAACTCTACATAAAATATATATTTTACTGGTTACAATTTTATTATTTTCTTCACTCCTGTCTTCAATCTGCTCTGTGTAAACACAGCCTGCAGTTCAGCTCTGTTCAGCAGAAAAGCCCCTGAATTTTTGTCACGCAAGTGTCGGTTGCAGTTGAGTCACTGACAGCTTTTCGATTGTGATAAGTGCTGATTTTTTTGTTTTTCACAGAGTGTAAATGGTTTACTTCTTGAGAATTTTTAAACGAGACACATCGAGGAAAATTAATGAAATGAAATGTTCTAATTTTAAGCTTAGATTTGGTTAATTTTCCTCACATGACACACTTCAAGACTGTTGGAAAATTTAAAAAATCTGATGATTCTTTCTGTTTTCGCAGTTTGTAACAGATCTGATAATTGTTGTTCTGTTGGAGATTTTTCAATTTTTTACAGATAGCATGCTGTTCGAACCCACAGGTGGGTTTTGGAGTTCAGAGGGTCAAGTTTTTGTTTTTTTCTTTTAGAAAATGTAATGTAACATCAGTCACTCTTTGCACCACTTCTCTGCATGTGGGAGTCAGAGTTTGCAACTTGGGCAGCTGTCGTGCAGTGGCCAGATTGGATCGAGCTCCTCCCATTGAAACAGTGGTCTGATGTGCTGGTTAGGTGTCCTGTCGGGGGAAACAGAGAAACAGAAGTAATTTCAGGGAAACAGAGTGAAGTTTCAGTCAGTGGTCAGTTCCAGTTTCAGAGTGACCTAATCCACCTAGTAAAGGTCACTACAGAGATAGCACGAACTGTGACCTCCCCATGCTGATAAATGTTAGTTTCACAATTGACGGATGATTCTCGAGAATATCTCATTTTGTTATATATTGTTGACCTGCTCTTTTTGTGTTATTTTGGTGTGGTCATAGGAATGAGAGCGGTAAAGATGATACAAAAGCTTTCTGTAGCTTCACTGTGGAGTATTCACATGTGACTTCTTATTTGAGATCCTTAATTGGCACTGAGGCTCTGAACAATTTCTTGCTCACATGTGCATGATTGTCTGCAACTATAGAGAGAAATTTATAGAATCACAGTGCAAACGCCTCATACATGCAATTCTGTCACTTTCTTTGAATGCTGCTGTTATTCAAGTTGACAGATAGGACAGAGAAGAAAAAAAAAGAAGTGGCAGAAATATGAGGAGAGAAGCATGAAAGCAGCAGAGGAGCGTATAGGTGCAATCAGCCGCGGCGCCTGTGGCTGAGCCATATAAAGATGTTTTTTTTTTTTCTTCTGTTTTTCACCGGCTATTAGCACATCACTGTGGTACGGCGAGGCTGCTGGCCAAGCCCAGAGGACAGACTGAAGGCAGGTGAAGTGAACTGTGTGAAGCCGAAGCCTGCAACAGCGCATGAGAGAAAATAATTGAATTTGTCACATTTTACTGTACAATTGTGTTATTTAAAAGAAAGTCTATAATGTCGGCCATGCACCTGTATTAGTTTAGTAGAATTTAATGATCTGGAAGTACTCAACACCACTGACAGGAGATTTAACCACAGTGTGAAGTGAACTGCAAAAAAATATTATTTAAGTCAAGATAACTTTACAGGAAGTTAGACATAGCTGCATAAAAATATCAATTTGTCTGTAATAGCCAGACTTGTGGCACAAATCTGGATACAGGGGTGCTAGAAAAAACATGTTAAGAATAGTGTATCATTTAAACACTGTAAAAATGTGAAAATAACACATATTTATATTTGTATTTAATTTTTTAATTTTTTTTGACAGGTAAAATGAACATGAATGTCTGATGTAGATGTTCACTGTAATTTTTTTTATTTATCAAAACAGGAAAAATCTGTTTTGGCAAAGAAAAAAACAAGATGTTGTTCAAATATTACAGATTAAAAACAAAATCTCTTTTTTTTTAACAGTCCACTAGTCAAACAAAAACTCCTGTTTTATATTGCACGCTCCAATTTTTTTTGCTGTTACTTTACTTGTCTTTAAAGACAAAACTTTTGTCAGAAAAGGACAAAACTGAAGGACGCCTGACAGCTGCTGATGTTCATTTGGCCTCCATCACAACTTTAACTCCCTCCCATGTCGCCTCGTTGCCACAGCTTATTCAGGCACTAAAACACTTGCCG